GCCGGGCGCTTGGCCCCTTGCTGCTTCTCAGACGCACCGCCAGACGGGTCGGCCAGCGCGAGGTAGAAGCGAGACTTGAGGAAGCGGCGGTAGGAGTCCTTCTCCATCAGGTGGAAGATCTTCCTCTGGGCCTCGTCAAAGCAGGTGGCCGTGGGCGCCAGCAGGTTCCGGCGGGTCTGCTCCCTGGTGCCGGAGTCCAGGTTGACCTGAGGGTGGAGGGGCGGTTAGCACGGCGCCGGGAGGGTGGGGAGCAGACCTGGGCTCCCCGCACGTGTGGGCAGGGCGGGTCTCCTCTCCCCCACATGCTGGGGGGATCCAGCAGAACCCCCGGCGGTCCTCTGACAAAGGCCTTTCTCAGCCGACCTACGTGGATGTCAAGCTGATAATAGTGGGTGCACGGCTCCTTTTTGTGAGTCAGGGGCCTGCAGGGCCGAGGACCGAATGCCACCCCCAGGGAACTTCCTGCCACCAGACTCCTGCGAGCACCCACCTCCTGGGTCGCCTGGACCGAGATGAACTCCTCATAGATCTTCATGGCCTTGGGGCGCAGCTTTGAGGGCGACCTGGTTCGCTTGTACTCCTCACAGCGGAGCCAGAACTCTACATTCTCCTCGCTGTGCTCCGACCGGAGGAACGCCCTGAACGCCGCCAGCCCGCCTGCGACCGGAGAGAGCCGAGCTGTCACTGCTGGTGACAGAGCCCAGGCGCTGGAGGGAACAGGGCAGGTTCGAGCCACCCCACACCCCGCTTTTGTGGGGTCACCTGGGGCCAGGTAACCCTAATCTGTCTGTTTCTATTGGATCCCAGCTGCACACCCTGCTTCAGTGGGTTTGGGAAAGAGAAACTGAAGTTGATTCTGCAAGAAATCTCAATATTTGGAGTTTTCCTCTACCCTTTCCCCACGGTTTCTGCATGAACCACCCACTGCAGATGACCAAGCTCAGGGTCACACGCCTAACAGGCTGACTCCCCTAAGCCTGCCGTGTGTTGTGTGAGATGCGTGTATCCAGGGCACCGTGACCCCAACCCAGAGGGGGTGGTAGGACTTACATTCATGGCTGATCAGGTTTTCCAGTGATTCGGCCCACTTTTTGACTTCCTCTTGGCTCACCCTAGAGAAGAAGAATTTGAATGCCGGGAGTGAATGCCGGGAGGAAGCGTACGGTCCTAAATAAAGTGCAGGTATTTTCTCTCCTGCCCTTAGCCCAGCCTGGTGTTGGTTAGAGCCCACACACACACACACACACACACCCGCCCCAAGGACATTCTTACTTACATCTAGCTTAACTGGGGCCGTGGCTTCCCCGGCTCTACCATACCCTGTCCGCAGACAACTCCCCCCGCGGCCCTCCTCCCTCTCCTAGGGCCCTCCCCCTCCCCCCACAGCCCTCCCCTACCTTTCTTACCTGGGACAGACCACCAGCTTGTCTCTCCTGCTGTGGGAGGAGCCGTGTTCACCGGAATCCGACTTCTGCAGCAGCACCCCCAGCCGGTGCTTCATGTCCTTGGCGCTGCACAGAAGGGGACACATTGTGGTCCTGGGCTCTCGTTAAAAGACACCCGGCTGCGAGAGCCCGTCGCACTTAGGGAGCTGGAGGTGCGCAAGCTCCCAGGACAAGGAGCCCCCATGCCCCTGCCTGGGACCCAGGACAGAGCCCAGACAGCAGTGCCCTTCCCAGGTGCTGGGAGGCTGACCCTCCGCCAGCAGCAGCCTCTCCTGGAGCCTGTCATTTTCACCAATAGCACAAGGTGTGACCTTCAACAGAAGCCCATTGAAAACATGCCTTTCTTAGAGATTAGGAACTGGGAAGCTGCAGGGGCTGACAGGGTCCCTTCCTGTGGTGCCACCTCCTGGACAGAAGTTGCTATTGCCACCGCTGGCTGCTGGCCCCGGATGCACAGGCACTGGGGAAGGTGGCCTGTGATTCCAGCCCAGGGATGTGGGCCTGCGCCCTGTGCCCTGCACCTGCGCCCTGCACCCTGCGCCCTTCGCCCTGCACCTGCACCCTGCACCCTGCACCTGCGCCCTGCACCTGCACCCTGCACCTGCGCCCTGCGCCCTGCACCTGCACCCTGCACCTGCGCCCTGCGCCCTGCACCTGCACCCTGCACCTGCGCCCTGCGCCCTGCACCTGCACCCTGCACCTGCGCCCTGCGCCCTGCACCTGCACCCTGCACCTGCGCCCTGCGCCCTGCACCTGCACCCTGCACCTGCGCCCTGCGCCCTGCACCTGCACCCTGCACCTGCGCCCTGCGCCCTGCACCTGCACCCTGCACCTGCGCCCTGCGCCCTGCACCTGCACCCTGCACCTGCGCCCTGCGCCCTGCACCTGCACCCTGCACCTGCGCCCTGCGCCCTGCACCTGCACCCTGCACCTGCGCCCTGCACCCTGCACCTGCGCCCTGCACCCTGCGCCCTGCACCCTGCACCCTGCACCTACACCCTGCACCTGCACCCTGCACCTGCGCCAGGTGTGCGGTTGGCAGAGGGGCTGGACAGTGAGCCCCAGCTCCTCAGCTGCACTGCTTTCCTTTGTACTCTCTGCACTGCAGGGACATTTACACCCTAAAGGGCACTGGGGGCTTCAAAAGAACCCAGAGAAGCAAGCGAGAGTCACAGGAACAGGACTCAGAGACAAGGACCTTCCAGCTCAACCTTCTTATTCTTTAACTAGAGGCCCGGTGCATGAAACTTGTGCACCGGGAAGGGGGGGTCCCTCAGCCTGGCCTGCACCCTCTCATAGTCCAGGACCCCTCGGGGGATGTCCACCTGCCAGCTTAGGCCCGCCTGAGCCGACAGGCGGACATCACTCTCACAGTCCAGGACCCCTTGCTCCTTACCACCCACCTGCTCACTGCTCCTTACTGCTCAGCTCACTGTTCCTTAGTGCTGCCACGGAGGCGGGAGAGGCTTCGCCCCCGCCGCTGCGCTCGCCAGCTGTGAGCTCGGCTTCTAGCTGAGCGGCACTCCCCCTGTGGGAGCACACTGACCACCAGGGGGCAGCTCCTACGTTGAGCGTCTGCCCCCTGGTGGTCAGTGCATATCATAGCGACTGGTTGTTCTGGTCGTTCTGCTGTAACCGTCGCTTAGGCTTTTATTATATAGATTATTCCTTTGCTTGGATCTCCTTCATTATAAAAGCCCAGAAATCGCTTTATAAGAGAAGTGTCATTTGAAAAGAAGTGCATGGCTATCAGAGGGAGGAAAGTGGAGCCGTGGGTGATAAGCTGCATCTCACTGCCCTGCTGTCAGGGGCGTGTCCAGGTGCGTTTCCCCAAGAAACGGGACTCTCGCTGTTCTGGGGCTGCCCCTAGCAGTGTCCTCCCTCCCTCACAGGACTGTGCCCTCCTCTGCCTCCCCACCTGGTCCTGGTCAGGCTCCTCCGTAATGACAGAAGAGGGCGTCGAGGAGGCTGTGGGACTGAGGCTAAGGGGACCCTATCAGTGGAAGCATTCGCCAGAACAGCCTGCTGAGCTCTGACGGGGACCGATCACCACACCGTCCCCTCATGCAGAGGTGGCCCATGCCTGACCTACAGCACATGCCACACGAGGATTAAAGCCATGAGGACTCCATGGCTCCCTGGAGCCAGGACACCTGCATCTGCTCTGCCCGCACCCCCCCCACACACACACACACACCCCAATGTGACCTTGAGCCCAGGCACAGAGCTGGAATGAAGTGCTGGACTCGCTGGTCTGCAGCTCCCAGAGAGGACAGACCAGCAGCTCACCCTCCAGCTGGGTTCTGGGACCACACCTGCCGCCCACCCCCTGCTTTGCACAGTTTTCTGAGTTAGTGAAGCTTGGAGTCTTGCTCCTTGGGGTCAGGCGTCGCTGGGGGATCACTATCTCACTTTCTGCCAGACCCTCCTGCTTCCCGTCAAAGCCCCCGGAGCCCGTGAGCAGGGAATCTCCTTCCTCCTGAGCGGTCGAGCCCCGGAAGGTCCGGGACCACACCTGCCGCCCACCCCCTGCTTTGCACAGTTTTCTGAGTTAGTGAAGCTTGGAGTCTTGCTCCTTGGGGTCAGGCGTCGCTGGGGGATCACTATCTCACTTTCTGCCAGACCCTCCTGCTTCCCGTCAAAGCCCCCGGAGCCCGTGAGCAGGGAATCTCCTTCCTCCTGAGCGGTCGAGCCCCGGAAGGTCCGCGCCCGGGGTGCACAGAACACGGTGCCTTCTGGGAGATTCCCAACTTGAACTGAAGGTGATTGCCATTTGCAGGGCGATGAGAAGAGGGTGCTGTCTACGGACGGCTTCCTGCCCTTCGCGGTGAGATCAGCTCATGGAATACGGGGTTCATTCACTTCAGCTGGCTAGTATAGAGGCATTCCCTGGAAGCGTTTACTGACTCTTTTAAAGACACAGCACATGATAAAGCTGTGTTTGCAGGGCGAGACCTTCCACAGAGCCCTGAGCCTGAGCCCTGAGCCCTGAGCCCTGAGCCTGAGCCTGAGCCTGAGCCCTGCTGTGACCCGGCTCAGGGGGTGTGGTCTGGAGCTGAAGTCACTGTAGCATCTGCTCATGGAACACAGGCGGGGAGGGACCCTCAGCCCACACAGCAGCACAGAGCCTTCCCAGCAGGTGCCCAGCGCACCCTGGGGTGTCTTCCCCTACACAGGACCTAGAGCGTCTGCCCTCCAGAGCCCCGGCCCGAGTCTGCGAGCCCCCGCGACTCTCAGCACCCATCACAGCTGAGACACAGCAGCCCAGCGGGCCGTCCAACCCTGGCCGCCCTGCTCCCTGCGAGCTGGCCTGGCCAGGTTTGGACGGTCCTCAGACCAAGGCCAGTCACAGCGCACAGAGGGGCCCGGATCGGGGAGCACACACTTCCTCGGCCACTGTTTCTAGCTCATCGTGGCAGGCACTGAGCCCCACTGACCACGGGGATCCTAACCCACAGAGCGGGGTCCACAGCAGCTGTGCAACCGCCAGGTGTGGCAGGGCGGGCTGAAGGCGTCTTACCTCCGCAGGCAGGAAGCGGGCAGCCCCGCCAGACCTTTGCACATCTTTGCTGCGGGTTGGAGTTCGAGGCTGGAGGAGACGGGAGGAGCTGGGAGCCGAGCACTCTTCCTTGACTGCCTGCAGATGCTTCAGATGCCGGCTCCCTCCTCCGCCTGCCGGTCTCATTTAAAGCCCAGCCACCGCCGGGCAGCCAATCAGCGGCGCTGTAACAACGCCTCTGCAGCCAATCAGCGTTGCTGTGACACCCCCGCTGGGGCCTCTGCAGCCTCCGCAGAGACTAGGAGGCGGGAGGAGGCTTCCACCGCGCAGGGCGAAGCGCAGGAAAACCTCTGGCAAAGCAGACGCACAGCAAGCAGGTTCCTCCCTGTCTCTGCCCGCGTCGGAGGCTTTGAATTCCCAGAAGAGGGGAGAGGGCACCTCTGTGTTGCTGCAAACCATGGGGCTCACTCATTTCTCTGTAAAAACAACGCCAAGGGCAGTTGCCCAACAAGGAGAGCCCCAGCAGGGCTGGGTTTAGCTGGGGCCGACTCACCTTCCTTCCGTTTTTTTGGATTAGAAATAGCGGGCGCGGGGTCCCAGCTCTCACCTTCCTGTTTCCAGGCTGGGTCTGCAGGGGTGGCCCTGGGGTGGCCATGGCCCACAGGGCTGGGCGGGCAGCTGAGGCTGGCCCCGCGGACAGACCACGCAGCTGCCCCGCCTGGCTGTGGATACTCTTCTAGAACTCCCGCTCGGAACCGGATTCAGCCCAGCAGCCAGGACCTCTCTGCCTCTAGCAAAGAGCTGCCACACAGCAGCCGGACCCGGAGGGAGAGGAGCACATGGCTTATCCTATTGCCTGTGCATCCTGAGTCTCCAACCCAAATTTCAAACTATGAGAACGACAGAGAGAAAAGTGTGTGTCTGCCCTGCATGTCACAGTCTTCAGAATGAACATAGGCGATTGACCCCGTGCTTCCGAGCGCCTGGACAACTCCTGGGTTGTCTACAGTAGATGGACTGCTGTTCCAACAGTCGCAGCCCCGAAGCTGTGAGGGGAGGAGACGTTCCTGTCTGTGTCGGCCCGGCAGCGTTCTGAAAGTAGACAGGCCCCTGGGCACAAGACGCAGGAGCCGTACTTTACGTATAAGAAGTAGAGACAGCCCTGGCCGTTTTGGCAGAGGGGATAGAGCATCGGCCTGCGGACCAGAGGGTCCCGGATTAGATTCTGGTCAAGGGCCCTGGTCAGGGCTCGTGCAAGAGGCAACCGATCAGTGTGTTTCTTTCACATCAGTGTTTCTCTCTGTCTTTCCCTCTCTCCTCTACTCCCCCTAAAAATCAGTGGGAAAATATCCTCAGGTGAGGATCAACAACAACAAAAAAAGCTGAGACATCTAGTGATTAGGTGAAGAAGATGCAGAGGGATGGGTGCCAGTGAGTGTGAAGGCAATGTGGCAAGACTCGTCCCCACACATCTGCGTCCCAAACACCCCACGCGGACCCACCTCGCCCGGCAAACACCCCACGCGGACCCACCTCACCCGGCAAACACCCCACGCGGACCCACCTCACCCGGCCACGGCAAGCACAGCAAGGAGATGGCTGAGAAGTGTAGGCAGGTGGAGGGGCCATAATCGCCAGAAGATGCATTTAGATTGTAGGAAGTCTCCCATGCGGGTAAAAAACATTTATTAAACTAGTTACAGGGCAACTTTTCCTTGAGGGGCCACATAGAACAGACTATTTCTCTGGTGGCCTCGTAGAAAGGATGGCAGTGCAATGCAAAATGGCGGAGATCACCAAGCTAGGGGGCAAGCCACTCAGAAATGGTATCAAAGAGGAGAGATAATTGAAAGGGAGAGAAGGGCCCTGACCGGTGGCTCCGTTCATTGGAGTGTCATCCTCTATACTGAACGGCCGCAGGTTTGATTCCTGGTCAGGGCACATAGGTTTGGGGTTTGATTCTAGTCGAGCACGTATGGGAGACAACCAATGTTTCTCTCTTACATCAGTGTTTGTTTTGTTTCTCTTTCCCTCCCCATCTCTCTAGAATTAATAAACATGCTCGGGTGAGGATAAAAAAAACTAAAAGGGAGAGAAGTCACCCAAGAGAGTGACCATTCAAGTCATTAGATTTGAGGCACATGAATGAAGACCCAGCAAGAACTTGACATCTTGGACAGCGATCAAAGAAAAGCCTGAGGTGTCCTAAGTCAGGTGTAAATAGCTCCAACAGACGGACCGAATAGGGTTTAAATCAGCGGTTCTCAACCTTCCTCCTGCCGAGACCCTTTAATACAGTTCCTCATGTTGTGGTGACCCCCAACCATAAAATTATTTTCGTTGCTACTTCATAACTGTAATTTTGCTACTGTTATGAATCAGAATGTAAATATCTGATTTGCAGGATATATTTTCATTGTTACAAATTGAACATAATTAAAGCATAGTGATTAATCACAAAAACAATATGTAATTATATATGTGTTTTCCGATGGTCTTAGGCAACCCCTGTGAAAGGGTCGTTCAACCCCCAAAGGGGTCGCGACCCACAGGTTGAGAACCGCTGGTTTACATGATCCAGACTGACACCTTCATTTCAGCAGGAAGAAATGGGTAGGGGACATGACTTGCCACGGTCACAGCTTCTAACAGCCGCTGCCGTCGAGGGCCCGGCAGGTTGTGATTGTGGGGTTACACGTGGTGGACGACAAAACACAGTAGTAATGATGCGCGCTCCCTTCACCGAGGACTCACTCTTTCTCCCGGAGAGCCAATGGCGCGACATGCACTGCCGGGTCATGGAAACCAGGCCCTCTGCTCACCCGTCCACGCGTGTCACCTTCACTTCTTTAATTACTTCTTAATTAGGCATTTTTAACCCTCCCGAGGATATGTATGTATGTATGTATGTATGTATTTATTTTTAGAGAGAGGAAGGGAGAGAGACATCGCTATGAGAGAGAAACATCAATCGGCTGTCTTCCATGCGCCCTGAGCAAGAATCGACCCCACCACCTTTGCTGTATGGGACGATGCTCCAGCCCAGTGAGCCCTGCCAAGCAGGTTAGGCTCATACTTTCCAGAACGTCCGGAAGCTTTCCATGCGTCGGCTTAGCTTTCACTGTGGGACCCGCCTGTTTGAGGAGGCAGGGCGAGGCCAGCATGATGCCGCAGCAGTACCACCCTCTCTCTGACACACACAGAGCATTACCTAATTGTGATTTATTCCTGTCAGACATGTCCGCGGAGCACCTACGCTGCGGCAGGTACTGGGAGCATGGGGAGCGAGCAGACAGAGCCCACCCTGGTGGGGTCGTCCCAGTGGGACGGGTCAGAAGCAGATGAATAATTCCAGATTTAGGGCCAGCCCCTCAGGAAATCCGCACGTGATGGGACAGGCACCTGGATGACAAGGGCTCCCGTAGCTGAGGTGGTAGGAGAGGCGGACAGAAGAGGAAAAGTGGTGTCAGCCCTGGGATTGGATGGATGTGCAGTAAGGAGCAGTGGGAGGAGCATAGGAAATAACATTCCAAACAGAGGCGGGAGCAAGTGAAAGTGCCTTGTCTCAACTGGGGGTGGGGCAGCTGGAGACCTGAGCACAGGGAGACGACAGGGCCCTGCCAAGGACCTGCAAGACCTGAAGGCCGTGGTCCGGAGGCTGGCCCTTCTCAATGGAGTGGAAATCCACCGCGGAGACGCGCAGGTGTGGGCGTGAGCGGTTCTGGTGCGGTTCTGGCTGTGAGCTGGGTGGGAGGCCGAGTGAGGGGCCTGGGAGCAGGCAGGCAGCAGAGCCAGCGGTTGGCCCCAGCGTCTGTGTTGCTCGGGTGTTTACCTATAATACAGATTAGAGACTATGGACTCGACATTCTAGGAGGCTTGTGACCAAACGTGAATCAGAAATGGCCTGTGCTTGGGGAGCTCACACGCACGGGGGAGGCCCCCCGAGTAACAAAGCACTAGGTTGGGTGACGTCACTATAAACTGTTCATTCAGAATCGAGGAAGCGCAGCGGCCGGGGAGGAAGCACAGCCTTCGGAATGTGGAGCCGAGTCCTCACAGAGGCCCTGCTGACGGGGGAGGCGAGTGGGTGTGCTCAGAGGAGAAGCGTCGCGGGGGCAGGATGGGGCGCGTCCCCGGCACCGAGTGTGCAGCCACGGCCTCAGCACCTGGCGTTAATAACTCACTGCTCGTCACAGTTCACCCTGAAAGAAGGGCTATGATGATCCCATTTTACCAACGAGACATCCGGGGCTTAAGTCAGCTACCTGAGGCTGCAGGTCTGCTCGTCAGTGGAGACAGGAGGCCAGCGGGGCGGGGGGGGGGCTCCCGGTCAGAAAGGATCCACGTGCGGGTCCGGAGCCCATGGAGATAGTGAGTGTGACTGTGGAGTCCGGGAGAGGAATGGCGGGTCCTTGAGACGCGGGCCGTGCCTGGTCGCACTGAAGACCACATTCTACCCTGCGGTTGCTGGGGGCCAGCCCAGGCAAAGGACTGCAGGCGCAGGAGGGAAGAGATGGGGTCAGAGGAACACGAACAGTCTGAGGCTCGGGAATGGTCGATGTGAAAGATGAAGATGGTAAAACATACCGCTGGCCAACGCCGTAGCGAGTCAAACGCAGCAAAGCACGTGGAGTGCCGCGCACACGCAACACGCTGGGCACACAGACTCCTGCCTGCCGCCACCGGCTGGGGGACAGGGAGCCACGGGCAGGGGCTGTGTGTGGTCTGCGGTGAGTGTCTAGTGTCCACACCCTTAGCTCAGGGAGGATCTAACACAGGGAAGCCAGCTCTTGTGGCCACGCTGGGCCCTTGTACCAGGTTCACCAGGGGCACCTGTCGCCGCTGGGGGGCGGGGAGGAGCTCGGCCTCCAGCGGTGCCCACACCATCTCGGGAGGCCATTCCTCCAGACACTGGGGCCCGCCCTCCCGTCGTGAGAGTTCACTGTGACTGACTTTTCAGGCTGAAAAAGCAAACACATGGACTGGAGGATGCGGATCCAGGGAGGTCGGCAGGCACTTCCCAGCCCGGCTCCCGTGGGACGTGTCAGGGTTCGGGGCACAGGCAGCCAGTCTGAGCAGAGGCCCTGGCGGTGGTGCCAGCAGGGAGCGTGGGTCCCCACAGACGTTCTCAGAGTGTGGTCCCTACGATGACAC